TTTTTGTTTTCAAATTCAATATAGGTTTGGGTTTGTGTGGCATAAATATAACTTGCAATTTCAAAGTGTTACTAATTGCAATTCAGCAATATTGCTCTCAAAGTTTATGGAAATGTAGATTTGCATTATCGGGTCTTTGCAGATATTTTACCGATCAAAACAGATGTTGCCAAACAACTTTCACGTTTATTTCCTCGTATTCTATTCCAGATAATATAAAAAATAAGATACATATATAATTGTGAATACCAAAAAAAGTACTTTTCCATGTGACCCAATTTCCATTCAAATTTAGCCACTAAATTACCATAATACCGCATAGTTAGCAGTCAAAATTATAAATTTCATAAAAAGTGTGAATAGCGAATTCAGGGACTAAACAAAGAATTTTAAATTTCCAAAACAGTTCCTTATGACTAAATACTACTGACTTGTTGAGTCATATAAAGTCCCATTCATATGATTGTACGAACAAGGAAAACAGTTCAATAATAACATTTAATTTAATATAAATAGAGATCTCTTTGGTTGAAATACTCACATGCTCGTCAACTTTCGTCATTAAAACACAGCTATGTCTCCACTTATACTTCTGACATTAATTGTGTATGTGCTCATGACTGTAGCGGGCTCAGTGATCAAAGTACGAGAAGTATCTCTGAATGAGGGAGAATCTGTCAACATAAAATTACGAAAAGGTGCTCTGGTTTATCCAGCTGAAAAAGTTGTACCAGATATGAGAATTCACTTTGAAGATGAAGAAAAACATGAGTCACCAATAATATTTAATGAAAAGGAAACTGAGACTTCGGGTTTAGTTAATAGATTCGCTATACGAGGAAATGGAAAGTGCCCATCAGGTCAAAGAAGACGAGGTCCAGTTTGTGTCTGATCATTCAAAATAGCAAAGAAAAGTGACAGCTAAGTGAAAAAAAATACACTGATATATTACAGTGTGAACTGTGTGATATTATTACTATTACTTTATTTAATAAACCACTTTGAAGTTATTACTTGTCTTTTATTAACTTTGATCTCGATTTTTATAATCTAAAAAAAATAACGTTTTTGGAGTATTCATTATAAGTTTACTAGAAAGACATATGTAATGAAAAATTAATTATATTTTTAGGCAAACTTTACATATCTTAAACACTTTTATATTCTTCTAACTGATATGGCATTCAACGTTTATTGTAAACGAATTAGATATAGCATTTAATTTAATTATAACAATGTACCAAAAAAACAACTTGGTTGTACAAACATATAAATATATATACTTATCTTTAATAGGACTCCACCGTTTGCCATCTAACAGTAGAATATTTAAATAACTTTCAAATGTTTATTTTAACCACTCATACAGATTCCTGAACCCTTTTCAATGAGTCTCATAATCTTCCTTAAAAAATCATTAGAATCCGTATTTTCAGTGTCAGATCCATATTGAATTTAACCCTATAATACAACATTCACATCACTCGCTTATAATCATTATTATCATAGGAAGTAGTTTAAAATAAATCTTATAGACATTTGTTGAATCTAGATTTTATGGTTTTCACCGAAGTCATGTGTCGCTATTATACTGAACTATGTAAAGAGGGATTTGTGAATGAACAAGGTCGCGACTAGAGACTAAAAACTATGATACTGCTGAGATATAAATATAATGAATAACTATATGAAAACATTTATAAAGAGCAAGGTGAATGAATATGAATGAATTACTATGAAGTTTTCCTGTTCATGTTTATTATGGAACTCAATTTATTAATTTGCTAGTTACAACAACGGCCTCAAATCCAATAGCGACCTTTATCAATAATTCTTATACAAAACATTATTTGTAAAACTTGACTAGTCATAGTTTCTAGGCTAACAAATTATAAATAAGATAAAAATCTCAAAGACCTTCTTTTCTTTCGCGAATTATTTTGTTTCTTTTGTAAGATAAATAAGATCTTACTTCTACCCTGTCATAAAACAATGAGCTATGACCATTAACATTTATCTGACCAATAACAGTTTGTAATTGTGTTTATATGAATGGCTGTTGTTATGTGGATTTAATGAATCAGAGTTTATTTTGTATAATTTACGTAATAATAAATACTTCATAATATTATGTAAGTGCAGTAATTACGTAAACAGCGAGCCTATGTCTGGTTTTCCTATTTATTAATAAACATTGTAACAATATGTAACAATACGATTTGAAGGCATTTATAACGAGGCGATCTGTAAATCATTATCATAATGATGACCAGTAAAATGAATATTTGTATAAAACACAATATTTTTTAAGTCACACAAAGATATTAACTTGGTTTCTTTATTAGTTCTTTATAATTGAGGAATTAAATACATTCTTATAACTTAATCTAAGAAATAAAAACGTTCAGGGTTTTAAATTAAAGTGGTGCACAACCAAGTAACTTGCTTTTAATGAACAAATATCAAATTGTCGTCCAATATATTTTTTTTATTTTAAATATAAATAAATGGTTTTGTACAATTCATTATATGTTATATAATTTCACTTAATTGAACTACATTACGTCCAGTATATACGGTAACATAATACGGGAACCGTAACTAGTACATAAACATTTTCTAAATACATTGATATCCCAATCAAACACACACATTATTAATTTTAATATTAATTTAAGGTCTTTGTTTTAGTTTTTGTTTTAGTTTATAAGTTGTTATTTGACTATTTGTAGTAAACTCATTAAATAAAAAGTGTGTAAAATTGGAATATTATGGTTCTGGAAATAAAGTGATTTATTATTATTATTATTATTTTTATTATTATTATTATACTGAAGACTGAAGACACATTACTAAAACTTTGACAAGATTTATCCAAAAACCAAAATGACATAAATGTGAATTCTCGTTAAATTTAACTCGTAGCTCTAATTCAAATTATCATCGCGTGCTCAATTTTATGAGACGAAATCTTCGAAGATATTTTAACTACCTAACGTAATTAATGCACGTCATAAAAACAGTACCCATTCAATAGTGACTGACTAAACTTTGAGTCATAGGAAGTCCCCTGGGAATATAGTTTATGTAACAGGAAACTCTTCACTAAATATTAGAAATGAGAAACCACTATAAATATAGCGTGCCTTCGATACATGATACACTTCTTCTGGACCTTTTAACAGTTCAGCCGTGTTGCTAACACGAAAATGTCTTCGAACTTAGTCTTGTTTTTCACCGTGACCATATTCGTGATGAGCATAACGGCTTCAGTAATTAAGATTAAAGAAATACCCCTCGTGGAAGGAGAAGTCATCGACATTATAGTCCGTGAAGACCCTCATCAAAGCGGAAAAACAGTCGCTGATGTTAAAATATTAATGGAAAACAAAAAAGACGTGCCTCCAACATCATTAGATAACTTTGTGAAAGCAACTGGCACTATACCAGATTTAGAAGACAGAGTGTCCATCAGAAACGGGAACTGCCCTCTCGGACAAAAAAGAAAAGGCCCTGTTTGTGTTTGAAACACAATGTTATACTGAAATAATAAAAATAATGGTTTGCTCGTGAAGCTAGGTTGTTGGAAGTGTTGCCTTTCTAATAATATAGTATTTTTATATACCATAAAATAATCCTGTTATTTTTATAAGTACTTTTATTATTTATTAAAACTTAATCGTTAATTTTAATATGTTTTCTTTTATTTATATGTTAAAAGACAAAGCTAAAAATTCTTTTATTTTATTTTTACCTCTTTAAATCCAAATCTGTCATTCATAAAAATGAGCAGGATTGCTTCAAATACTTTTAATTTCAGATTATTTCATATTTTATTCTTAGAGTACATTTTAATGAATATTGTATTGACTCGATGTTTGAGCTGGAACAAACTTAGAAACAATATTCTTTACGAGGTCACAAATAAATTAATAGCTTCGAGTAATAGAAACTAAATTGTAATTATGTTGATATAGAAAGTAGTAAGGAATAAAAAGTTCGTGACGAAATGGAAGTTTATTTATTAGTATAGAAATATTGAGTTTTATTCTCATTAAATTCACAATATTAAAACAACACAAAGTATATTTTACTTAAGAAATACAAAATATAATACACATATTTGAACAAATCAATACTTGACATTATATAACTTTATTTATTTAAAAAAAACTGTAAAAATAAAATACCAATTCGTTTATTAAAGCACAAATTTTCAATGCTCCATTATGATCATTAATCATCGTTACCGAGGTGACATCTATATTAATTAATATGGGATACATCAATATAACTTATTACTACAGTTGTCATTGTTATTGAAATAAAACGTAAAATATCAAAAGCAATACTTTATTATTGACGTAACGTAATGGTTAAAATATAGCCGTCTAAATATTATTGTTTGTCTGTGTGTTTTAGTGGAAGAAACACTAAAAATTTTCTGACAAATTTTTTGCTTGTAGCTTTTGGTTCACCACTTTTCATCCGAATTTATACGAAAATTTTTATAGGTACTATTAACTACGTAATAATATGTTTATCTGTTATTTAATACAAATCTTTATCTTTCCTTTAATTTCATTAATATGTACAAATGTTACTTCTATACTAATTAGGTTTCATGTTTATAGTTTTCTAATTGTCTTTAATTTCAATCTACCATTACAGATTATGATCCATAGTTTATAGCTGTTTCTATATATCCTATAAATGAGGATAGGAAAAACTAAAGTTCTAAAATTATAGACACAATCCCATTATATATGCATTACGCAATATAATAAAGTTTACTTTGCAGTATTCTGTCTTATTTGTAACACGACTGTAACATCACTATCTTCTATGAAAAACTGACAACAAAGTTGAGACATGTAGGTACTATTCACATTTCTCACTTTTGACTGCTAACTTATGAATATAGTTATAAAAAAAATATAGGTATTGTTACATTTGACATAAAATCGATATTGTAGATTAAAGAATAAGTTTGTTTTTATTTATATTTTGCTCCTAAGGTTACTTTTTAAAAGATCGATTCCTTTGTGTACAGCGTCGATAGCGGTCCCCGGGGCGGTCATTACACCGTAGCCACCGTGACCATAACAGTGGACGACTCTCACACCGTCGAAAAACTCGGGCTCCACTCTGACCGGTACTCTGTGCGGTCGAAGCCCCACTTTATGACACACCACATCAGCTTTCTTCAGTGCTGGCAGGAGATCACAGCATCTTTCCATTATCGCAGCAGCATCATGTTTACACACTTGTCTATTATAGCTATCATACTGCCGCACGCCTCCTAAGGTTGCGATCCCATCCACTCCAGGGATCACATATGTATCATAATCTCCATACAAAGCCATCTTCAGCCAGGGCGCTCTCACTTTTATCACTTGTCCTCGTATAGCCACCAGGTCGTTATCTTGACACAACGTCTTCGCACCTAAACCGGTGCAGTTAAACACCAGATCATATTCAGATAAAGAAGAGAATGAATCTATTTTCTGGGCAATGATTTTTCCTCCCTTCTCTATGAATACTTTTTCCGCCCAGGGCAAATATCTGCTACATTCTATTTTTAATGTCGAATAATAGGCACCGTACTTCCAACCATCTCCGCAGATCTTCAACTCATCTTCATCTACCGCTCTATACACGGGCACCAGATCCTCGATGAGATGATTCCTGGTCGTATGGAAATTTTCCTTGGAGAATATGTATGATGATAGTGTCATGAGGCCAGCTGCTGGTGCCTCAGCCGTCCTGAGTATCTCCTGCCAATAGTTCCAGGAGTCTTTTATCCATTGCTTAGTGACCTCTGGTGTTGGTCCACGGAAACTGGTCCCCGGTCTAAAAATACCCGCAGCGACCGTACTAACTGTATCCTCCTTGAACTTATCCGCTATGATAGTTATGTCAGCACTTCTTAATTCTTCTTGCAGAATCCTAGAAACCGTAGTTCCAACCACACCGGCACCGAGCACTGCTATTTTTGGTGTATTCTTATCCATTTTAGTCTGAAAAAGATAAAAGGAATATTTTTATTTACTGTGTTATAAAGATCTTAATATTAGTGAACATTTTTATCAACACAGAAGCATTGAACACATTTCTTTTATACTAGTAAACTATTCAAATGGTATTATTGAGTGTAATCTTTTTCGTTTATATTCTATTAAATGATATCATTATATGTGATTAATAAATCTAATATTATTTAGTCATTTATTATTAGTCTATTAATATATTAATTGTTCTATTCTAAGATAAATTAATCATTTTAAGTGACGTCAGCAGTTTAATAAGACGTCGTAATTTATCTAATATGAAAGTTAGTTAATGGAAACAATCATCAAATCTGAGTCGACTTTATCTTAATCAAACTTTGATTGTCCTTTGTAATTAGAACCACAAAGTCCTTTGAGAATCGGAGGCGAGTGGAATAACTTTAATTAAATTTACAAATATATACAAATTACTATATAACAAATATTTACAAGAATTTAAAAGCTTAATTAAACAACTTGGAACACTTCAGATTAAAAGACTATTAAGGTCACTTTTAATTAATAATATATATGTACATCCACTGCATTATAACAGTTCTTCTACACACCACAAAATATTTTTTTTGTAAGCACAGCAACTATAAGCAGCACCGCTTCACACGACTTCAATATTCATAATAAAGTCAACAACAACAAACAACAATCATTAACTAAATACGCGATATAAATAATATTAACATCAATTAATTGTTTATTTCATAACTCCGTAGTAAATAGAAAATCTCTTAGAACTAATTAAGTTGGACTGTTAACTCAAATAACAACTTATTTAAGCACTCGATCAGATTTGAGGCAGTCCTGCTCAAATTTTATAATTAATAACAGAAGTCCTATTTAGAGAAATGCCCTCAAGACAATACGTCTATACTGTACAACGGTTATCAATACTGTTTGACCTCCCAAAGACGAGTGAGGTCGAACAAAACTTATGTTTTATCTCTGTTTGTAATAAACAATAAACCATATATCTTATCAATAGACAAGTTTTATTTTCATACCAAAGATATACGTATTATATGAAAATATAATTAGAAAAATGGAAACAATAGTTTCGCATCATGATTAACTCAAGGAGCTTGGAAGACGATTATGAACTATTTGAAAAAAGTATTCTCACTGATTCATATTTCGTAGTAATGTCGAAGTATTTCGTAAGTATCTGAGCGGTAAAAAGTTCTCATCATATGTTTACCAGGTACAAAGGTAAAGACGAATAAAAGATTCTTGAACCATTTTAAAATTTCCAGCTACACAAGAGAATTATTGTACGGCTCGATTATCAAAAACAAATGCTTCACTCACTATTTTAATCCTGAAACCAACCAACAAACATTTCAACTTGGAAGTGAACTTCTTATTGCAGAAAGAAATAAAAAATACAACAAAGTTTCTGCGTTTGTTTTTCGGTGTACCTACTTAATAGCAACTACGGCGTAATGTTTAAAAAAAATTGCCTAATTACAAAGAGTTGGAAGTAGAACAAAGGTTAAAGCAATACTTCATGTGGGGGTTCGTTCTGTTATTTAGATAATAAATTCAGGTCTTTTTGCCCTTATTTACTAAACGACTGACGATGAGAATAGGTTTGCTAGGAGGTCCCCAGCGGTTCGTCACTTCACTCACTTCGTCAGATCACTTATAAGCTAATTCTCTTATTATTGCAGGTACTCGACATGGGCTTCCCGGAAGTAGCTGCATGAAATTGCAAGAAGAAATTTTAGTACTATAGCCTAATTGGCAAGCTTTCTGCATTTGTTACTTTCCCTGTATTTATAATTTTCTGAGGGACTGTTAAATACGAGTAGTTGTTAATGGCTGTTTGACTAAGCCCTTGGCGGTGAAATCAAGCATTTCTCAGGGTTCTGCCCGACACACAACTCTATTTTTCCTTCACATTAAGGACCTAATATTATAAGTTGATTATTATAACACAATCCAGCCCGGGAGTCAGTCGCAACCAAATAGAGTTGTAAAGGGATTAGTCATAACGCATGTTAATGGTAAAGTACAAGCATCCAACGAATGGGGCGATCTTGTTAAATTTATCGTCACCACAACACAAGCACGTCTGTCTTTTCACCTCTAAGAATCCGTTTTTACAAAAATTTACTCCAACTTTGCAAAATATATATTATGTACTTGAAATACACCTATCGCTTTCAGACATTAGGTTTCGAGGTTACCTTAATCCTCAAGTTTGCGTTTTTCATTAAGTCTAAATCAAAGAAAACTCGTCAACCTTATAAAAGCCCCGCAGTAATTTGGACAGTTTCTTTGTCTATAAAAAGCATAGCTGGGTTTGTTCGTGGAATACTGCTATCATATCTCGATAGGCACTGCAGCATGTGACCTTATTGCTTTGGTCTCCACGTAGACGTACAAAGAGGTCTGTTAGTGACCATGATTTGGTTACAACCAACCTAGTTTCCCAGAGCGCAGATGTAATTTATCCAATCTCTCCATATTTTGCAGCATACACTTTTGGAGAATTCGAATTAGACACTTACATAATTTATATTTGAATGGAAAACTACATAACTTAATCAGTCCATCTCCTTTTTTGCGACCAGAAAATCGCGAATACGTTGTGGCATAAGAACAACTTCAGATATTATCGTACAGTCTGTCAAATACTACATATTATATTATGAATAGGAATGTTCAAACAGTTGTGTGTGTCTTAAAGATTACACATCCTATTCGGGGATTTACTAAGTAAAACTGTCTTTATATAGGTATATTATTATAACATTCGTCCGTTGTATTTTTATTTCGATGACAAGGACAACAAAAACTCGTCTCTTTGAGATGTAATATTAATCCACTCAAATATTATTTGTTTAAAACTCAAAACAAATATTAAAGTCTAAAGAGATCTTTAGCACAAAATTCGGGAAAGGTAAGACGACCTAAGCTTTTGATTCCGCGATACTTAGAAAGACTTCTCAAACCATTCCACTGAAATTGGTTTTAAAAACACGTATAAAACTTGTGCTTTTTCTGGGTTTTACTTAATCGAGCGAGAATAAAAATCTTCTATACTGTCACATTTTAACTTACACACAATGTATATTAAACAACTTTTTCTACCAAAGGAGAAAATATGGTTTTTGCGATTGACAGATGCGGCTTGAACTCAAAGTAATCCTTACGGGCCTGTTTTAAGTGACAGCTCATTTCATAATAGAGCACATAAATCACAACATTATACCGGGTAACAAGTCCTTAAGTAAATTTGACAGAATTGTATCCTTAGTCGAAGTTGACAGAGCCACGCTTAATTAAAGCGTTTTCATTAATATGCCTTAGCATATAGTAATATAAACGTTGATTTAATGAGATACGGAAAATTCTTTGTCAGTAGTATGATGATGCAAACTTGGACTTAACGTACTGGTTTACAGCCAATGCATGAAATTACATCACTTTAGTATTATAAATAGGTTTAAAATTAAAGCACGCCAATCATGCAATAAAATTTAACAGTAGTGACGTTACCTAACGTTAAATTACTTTATTCCACTGCTATTACAAATATTACGGGCGAAACTGTGTACATATGTTTGTATGTGTGTGTTTCTATTACTGCATCACATTGACATTTGTGTGAAAATGTTACATATGTACAGTGTTATAATAATGTAATAACACATTCTTTGCCTTTCATCCAATAAAACATTATAATTCATGAGCTTGGAAATAAACATCAAAAACGAGGGTAATTTTTCTATATTTAGAAATTGAACACCTGGATTAATTTATTACGTAGTTTATTTTTAAAAATTGCAACGAGTACTTTCAGCGAAAACATCAAGTTTCAGTGATTGCTACTAAATTATAGAATTCGTACTAAAACACAAAAGTTTAAGATGATAAAAACTTAAGTAATATATTTATCGATAGTATAAACTTTTTAATACCTCACAAACATTCATCTAATTATAAACTGTTGTTAAAGATGACGAAATTCGAAATAAAATGTTTATTTACGAATCTTACCTAATGACAAAACTGTTGGTTTTTACAGAAACACGACCACAACGCAAAGATTACAATCAGCTGTCATCAAATGAGAAGCTTGACAACAGACAAATAGAGGATATACACATTGAAGAGGCCGACGTGGATTCAGATGCAAGCAGCACAGACTTGGACGAGCGAGACACACGCGGCGTCTGCCCTCCCTGTGCGCATGATCGATATAACAACAACGTTCGACGGCACACCCATGAGGAATACAGCGATGATACTGATTATGGTGAATAAAAACTCTTTATTTTATTCCGTTTTGGCTTAATAATAAAAAAAAATAAAAAATAATTAGTCTCTGGTTTCCGTTTCAACGTTATGAATGTGACACCTGTCAAAATAGTCGCAGGAATGTAAATCATAATGTTCAATCTTGTCACTGTCATTTGATCGAAAGTGGGAACTTTGTTTCCGTGTTGTTATGACGAATCCTAAAGTAATTTAAAAGTTTCAACTTACATAAATAAAATTCAGTGACAAATATCGTAAGTACTAGCAATGGCAACGTTAAAGTCTGATTTGGATGAGTACTTATTACAAAATGAAAATCGACGCAGCTACAAAATAAGTTTACCATTTTCTACTCCAAGTTTCTTCTCCCGAAGTAATGATGAGACGCCAACAAGTACTAGCACAACAAGCACATGGTTTGAAAATGTTCAAAAAGAATATTTCACTTTGGTAAGTAACTCATTGCCTCAATACCATTCTTAAATTCTTATTGATTATAGTTAACAATCATGAACATTATCTAATAAATTATTCTCTTTCAGAGCCGAACACAACGTTTCATGGGATTTGGAATATGTCTATTTTTTGGCTTTCTTTGTTTTATATTATCATTTTTATACATACCTGTACTACTTTTACAAGCAAGAAAGTTTGCCCTCCTGTTTTCTTTGGGTAGTCTTTTCTTCATTCTTAGGTAAGTAAATCTTTTATTATAACAATGAATTAGTGGCTGATATATTCAATATTATACTGAGTTTAGATATGATATATTAATTATTAATATTAACATCTATTAATTACCCTAAAGATCAATAACCAACTATTTAAGATAAAGGTAGAAAAAATTCAATTAATGAGAAATATATCATTTACTAGGGCATTGAACTCTAACTAATGTAATTATGAATTGATTACTGCTCATATACAAGGCAAAGATCTATGAATCAGTCAATTAATCATTAAAATGTACATTCTAATGAATATTTTCTTATAGTTTCAGTTTTCTGTATGGGCCGTGGTCTCACTTGAAGTCTTTATTCACCAAAGAAAGAGCGCTAACCACCTCTCTTTATGGGTTTACACTCTTTGCAACATTATACTGTGCATTGCATTTACAAAGCACTCCGCTGACTGTGATCTGTGCCGTCGGTCAGGTGTTAGCTTTAATGTGGATGATGCTGGGCTCCATCCCGGGAGGCTCGTCGGGAATGAGATTCTTTGGAAGCATGTTTAAGTCCTCCGTCTCAAATACATTGCCTATATAACATCTGGCTGAACACATTTTAATGTGTCTATTTATTTCTACATCTATATGGGAAGGTGTCTATGTGATAATTTGTTTTTATATAACTATACCTACTTGGTTAAAATTAATGTAAGATTTTGTCAATTCCTTGTAACTTGTATATTTTCATAATACAAGGGACTGAGAAATTATTAATTGAATGGGCAAATGACTTTAAATAAACCCATAGTATACAATTTTAAATTAAAGTTTTACAAAACGAAAAATGTGAATTAAATAAATGTGTAAAATATGTATTAGTCAATATTATTTCTGTCTTATTTTTCATTATTTATATAAATATATACTAAGTAACTTAACAAGAATCATATATTATTTTGAACTCTTTTATTAAGACAATAGAAACACAAAAACAATTTTCCAGCTACATCACATCTTTACCATGTTTTTGACATTTTACTTTTATTTCAAATTATTAGAAAATTTTTATTCAATGTATTTCTTTGATAGATGTAATGTGTATAAAGTATGTTTAAATTACCATTAAATATTTTTGAAATACTAAATGCATGCGATTTTTTATATAAAGTTCCTAAAATCTGAGAGCTAATTTTATATTAAAGAATAAATCATAAAAACAATGTGTTTTATTTTATATTAATTATGACTAAGAACACTGGACAGTAGGTACAATAAGACATTTTGGTAAATAGATAAGTTTTAGTTGTATTTCTGTTCATAAATGTACATAGAAAATAGTTATAGTTTTTTATATGTATCGTATTCGTCTACTCAATGATAACTTGTATAGGTAATTATACTTCCATCGATATTTGGAGTTTCAAAAATGATGTATTCTTTATCAGTTTTGACATTTATTCTCGTACTATTATTAAAAATAATATTTTTTTGTGTTTAGTCCTCGAGATATACTTACCTTTTGTTGTATGTGAGTAGCGGGTCGGGAGATGTAAACATATCAATATAATTAAATCTCTCTTTGTTCAACTGTCTAGGTCAGGTTGTTCCTATCGCACGCCATATAAATATCTTACGATGGATCCGACGATATTCACAATTGAAAATACTTAAAGCTTACATATGTAAGGTATTTTAAATGCATACATAGGTATAAACATTTGAAGTAAAAACACATATAACCGTTTTGTTCTGCATGTATATTTTTAATGTGTAAATTTTATTTGAAATAGGTACATAAGTATGTTGATTTTTTTTGTATCAATTTTGTTATTTCTCATTATACAATTCAAATTATTTTATTTACGAAACTGCTTAACAAGTTCTACATCTGGTAAATGTCTTTTCCATTTGGTAAAATGATTATCAGCTGTAAAGATTTCAGGGGCCTAAAAAAAGATGACCTCTTTTTAAAAGTACTCTAAGTAAAGCGTTTTATTTACAAGATCTCTTTTCTTATATTTAGTTTGAATCTAAACATTCGTATTTAAAATTATATCCGTATTTCCATTCCAGATAGTAAACTAGTACATAATCTTGCATTTTATATCTAAGCAGATTAACTTAGTTCCCATATGTGGTAAAATTGATAGAATTGATTTTTTTAACCTTTTATGTATATATTTTTTTCATCAATTTTTTAATACTAAAACAATTTAACCATTACATTATGTAAGACATAATCTACAGATTTTGCTCCTCAAATATCTCGTGTGAATCAAGTTGGTAGCGTCCTCTGCCGTTTCAACGCTCACATACTACACTAGTTGACTAATGAATCTGCATTATGTCCATTACAAAATAATCCAAACATTAAAATAAAACCGATGTTTTAATTCATAACGAGTATGTTTGTCATGTTTATTTCATACGCCAGTCTCGTTATCCCCAAAAGATATTACATAATAAAGTTTAGATTTAATTAGAAATATGTATGGCTATAAAATTTAGAATGTCAATTTTGTTTTACAAGAACTTTTACCACAAATTTTTATTACTTAAGAATGACTGCTCTTGTTTTAGAATTAGTGATTTACGAAGAGATGCCATTTGAATATTACAATTGTATATAACGTTTCCATTTTCTCAATTTCCAGACGAAGCCTTGACCTGCAACGTGTGCGACCGATCCTTCTCCACGCGCCGAGCGCTGAGCGACCACCAACAGAAGAAGCGACATTTCGGGTAACTATCATATACATCAAACTAATATTTTTCGGATATATTACGCGACTTTATTTTTGATAAAAACTACATCCTCCCTACGTTAGGGATTTTTACAGCAACCGTGATCACGGGCAGACGAGATGCGAGTGTCTTTGTCTGTGATTGAACCCGTGATCACGGTTACTAAGTAGCCGAAACGTCGGTATGTAGTTTCTTACAAAACCGCGTATAGTGCGTTGGATTTAAGCTGATCTTTACATTTGTGTGAGTGCACACGGATAGTGTAGGTGTGAAGTCAAATTTTTAAATGCCACGTACTTTTCTAGTTTTGAACCGGTTTATTCTGCTTTTACTCCACCCCGCACCTTCCGCACTTCACCCTTTGTACTGGTAGCAACGTCAAATGTCGAAATTGCAATGTCAAGTAAAGAAGAATATGTATAATTTTTCCAAATTCTTAAATTTTCAAATTAATTATTTTTTTCCATTTGGCCTTTTACAAGTTTTACTTCTTTTATTTTAATTCTAGAATAGCTCTTACAATTATGTTATGTATATAAATTTACTTCTAAAAGTTTTTTGGCTAACTCTACTTTTACTTTCACTCACACAAATGCAAAGCTCAGCTTAAATCAAACGAACTATAGTATATCCGATAAATATTAGTTTCATTTAAATGACTCTCGAAAACCTTACATCTAACTATCATATTATATGTACATCTCTTCTAAGTGTATGTAATGTGTGTGTGTGCGTGTCCCCCCCAGTTGCGGCGCGTGCGACAGCCTGTTCCCGTCGCTCATGTCTCTGGAGCACCACAAGGAGGAGTTCTCTCACTGGAGCGACTCGTGCTACACTAGCTCCGACTCCGAGCAGGACTCGCGCCACGAGGACCGTCACCGGCTGCTATAATACCACCTCATTATTGCCGGGAACACATCGCGACACCTCGGCACCTTCGTATAAACATGGCTCACGGCTCACGTGGAAAATCACTTCTACATTGTAATTGCTTCGTCTTTTTAACACGAGACGATGTTTCTAGTTAGTTATAACGGATGCCAAAATGCCAAAACCGTTTCATAGTTAAGTGGTAATGTAAGTAGGGTTTGTATATATTGACTTAGCTCGAGTTAGACATCTCTTGTAAGGTATTGATTCTACTGTGTTTATCTTATATGAATGTTGTATGACACATGACAGTATTAAAGACATATCTGGAGCCAGTATTATTGTATACAAGTAATTAATGTTAGGTCTTTATCAAGTTAGAGACTGTCTCGTGACTCGGTAGTTTTATATATTTGTGGACGGTGAAAATCAAAATATTTAAACAATTAAATATTTTAATACTTTTATTGAGTAGTTTATAGCTAGTTAGTAATTATTGCTGCACATTTATACAATCTCTTGCATCTTCGAACACTAACATTACAATTCAACATCGCTTATATCGAGAGGGATGTTCGGGAGAGTCTGGATTATCAGCGAAGGCGCTCTTCCAATATGGAAGAACTAAAAAAAGTATTCTCATCAGTTCCAAAGTTTATTAGATATAATAGCTCTAGACAAATCAGAGTATGTTTTTTATATGTAAAGAGAAATAAATAAAGGCAACATATTTCTACTCATATAGAAAAAACAAAACACAATGTTTTTTTACAAATATAAAAGAAAAACGAAGTCAGTAATGAATGAGAGTCAACCTTATAATGTACCTCGTTTGTTTGTCTGTTGTATTCCGTTCCTACGACTACGAACGTCCTACCGAATCGTCCAAAACTCGACATCACGCAAAATCAGTTGAATCATTGAACAAAACAAATATCTGTAGAAACATATCAAAATACACTAATGGCATTTACAATTCGTACCTAACACGGATTACAATGTAAGAAGAGCGGCGCCCCAGCGGCCGTCCGTCCGCTGCGGCGCCGCGCGCGAGCCGAGCCGGTGTGCCGGCAATAATGTATCACAGTACCCGCGGGGCGCGCGCCGCTCTGTGTCGCATATCGAATAATCAGGAATACAAATCACGAATCTCTTACGAAAGCATAATACGAGTGAGTGGGGCCGCACTACGCCGTGCCGTTCAGCAGCGGCTCGGCCTTGGGCTTGGCGGGCTCGCGCCGGGCCTTGGAGGCGCCGCCCGCGCCCGCCGCACCCGCGCCCGCCACGCCCGCGCCCGCGCCAGGTCCGCTCACGCCGTTCTTCCACCCGCCTCCTGGAATATAACATGTTTCGTATTATACTTTACTCTTGTACCAGCGTGTTTTATTTACGAACCCACACCCCGTTTGTTTGATTAGACATCTAAATTAACAAATAATTTGAGATAAAGTTTTGCAAGTGTAAGCCAATAAATATTAAAAATTATAAGTACTTAAACATAAACTGTTGTTGTAAATATCTATAAGTGTTAAAAATTTATAAACATGCAGAACTCAGGAAGCACAACACTTATAATATAAAGTTTCACATGCAGTATAACAAGCCAGGACATGTATCAATAACTGAGTTGCCACCCAAGACACAACACCATACATAAAGCGTCAGTGTTAAGTGTAACGAGCCATGTTACATACAACGTACACATGCGACACGCGCCACCGGTCATGCTGTGAGTGTATGTGTACCCATTATGTTCCAAGACCACGAGGAGTGTGCGTGTGTGTGTGTGTGTGATGCTTGTTGTGCGTGTGTGTATGACGCTTGTTGTGTGCGTGTGTGGGTGTGATGCTTGTCGTGTGTGTGTCCGTGTGTGTGTGTGTGTGTGTGTGTGTACCTCTCCTCCGTCGCGCCCCCCTCGCCCGGCCGGCCGCCTCCTCCCCGGACGCTGACTCTGCACACGTCACACACACACTCGTCACTCCCCCCCCACTACCGCTACAGCCGTATGTACTTGGAATATATATCATACTACACTGTGTTACATCATCTACTATACTATGCTACGTAACAAACTTTATAATGATCGACACTCTCACTAACGGAATAGAAAAAATTATTGATCGATTGATTCGGACTATAGAAAAAAAGAGAGATTTTTATATTAGAATTAATATTAACTTTTTTGAAGTATTATCTATGGATGAATGCAGTAGAATAGGCAATGCTTTTCACTAATAAAATAATTAAAATCATCATTTCTAAATGTCAGATAGTGTGCGAGTGTCAACATTAGAAAATTTGTTTCAATAGTCGTACACTTATAATAAATTAGTTTTATAAAGACACTCGGTGAAGCGTCACTCTTCACTACACACAACTGATGTTATAAAGACCAGACGAACGGCGGATCAACACGCCGCTCGATAGTATAGTACTACAATGTTCCAGTTACTTTATATAAATACTTATCGTGCACACTATAGTTAACTAGGATGCACTACATACTACTGAATACAACCAGCAACGCTAGCAGGTCCAGACTAGATGAGGACGGGTGTGGTGTCCTATCTATCTATCTACATATCTATATCTACTGACCCCGGTCGGTGGAGGCGTCGTGTCCGTCTGGAGCTGGTCCATCTTCTCCGGCGCGCCGCCGACCGCTCTGAAAAACACACACAATATTAATTAATGTTTTGAGAGATTGGCTCCTTGAAAAAAAATACTAAAGGATAACTTAAAAAAAAATTAGTCCGAAATAGTTAACATTTTACAAGTTTTTTATTCTTGATAACCCTGTGAGCAAATACAACAATTTTTTATAAAAAGATAACTTATTAAAAGCCTGAGCAAAATCTTAAATGTTAGAAAGTTTTTTGATTTCAAACGTTTTAAATTTATCTTGTAATATATTTATTTTATTAATTAAAGTGTTATGATTAAAATTTGAAAATGAATTTCTTCTTTACGGGATTTTACGTTACAACATTTTTATAATATTTTTTTACAAACTAAATTCTTTTTTCATTTTCTAATGATAGTTTTTGAATTATTTTTTTTTGTAGGAACTAGGAAATATGCAAGAATGCTGCCCTCATAAAATAGTTTAAACTTGAAAATGGCCCTTACTGCCATAGTGCTTGGCCACACTTGCTTTAAAACAATTATATATTAGAAAACATTATTTCCATATACATTTATGTCATTGACACAGCACTTCTCTTAAATATTTTAATCCGTATCTACCAATCTTTATACATATACATATAAAAATTTCGTGTCACGTGTTTGTCCGCGATGGACTCCTAAACTACCAAACCGATTTTAAATTTGATTTGCATTCCGTGTGCAGTTTGATCCAACTTGAAAGATAGGATAGCTTACATCTCAATTTATAGTCACAATATTATTTTATTGCATTTGTCTTTTAAAGAAAATTATTTGTCATTATTACAATTATCTGTTGACTGAGTTAAGGATTCAATAGAGGGCGCTATGTTAAAAATACAAACGTTGTATATGAGCGACTATTTAATAATAGCATAACCACCACTTATTAATAATTCTGAGGCTAAGGTATAATCTAAATTTATTTATTAAAAAAACGCAACAGATATTTCTTGATTATAGGGCGATACGAAGTTCTCCGGGTCTTCTAGTAAACTATATTTCTGAGCTGGTTTCAAACAAGTATATATAATTCTATATGTCAGCATGTAATGTGTTTTGTTTGTGTCCGTGTTTCATCCCATCCCATCCCTATAATCCTTATCGTACCACATCCCTGTTGTCCCTGTTGTCCCGCGGCGGTCGTCCGTGCGCCCGTCCGTTCTCCAGCGGCACGCGACGCTCCTCCCCGCGACGCTCGCTCGACCTGGAGTTACATAGATATTATTATATGTTCATATACAACTATACACAGAGTCAACTGACTAAATATACAGGATGTGAATAATTGCAAATCAGAACATTTCATTGCAAACGCTAATCATGAGATAACTCAATACATTAAGACCCAGTTTCACCAATCAATGTTTAATTAAGCTAAACACAGCATATACTAACAAACCTTCAAAATTATAAATGTCTCTTAAAATATTTACGTCCCACGATGACATATTAACAACGCATTATTAAACGTCATGTTAAATGACTACCAAATTATTCGTTCTTGTTATAAGACGACCAAATTGAAACTATAGCGTTTAATATGACACGATTGCCACGATGCACCACTTTATACTTTGATCGTATATATCCCTCGATACTTCACTTGTAAGCTAATGCGACCAAATTTGATATATCGTTGGTTGCATACGTTTGGCACACAAAAAGCTTTCTTTTCAATTAACTAGGTGTAACCTGTCAAAATCGTGTTGTCAATAAATTGTATTATACAGGGTGACTGGTGAATTACTATCAATATTTAAGGAGAATACTCGGTACATGATTCTCATTCGAATTATGTAAATAAAATAGGTACTTAATTTTTGACCAAATTTCCGTATAAATAAATAAAGTGTGGACACGTTCCAAGTGTTCCAAGTATGGACGCGCGCGGCGGCGTGCTGATACAACACCACGCCGCCGCACGCGTGTGTGTGTGTGTGTGTATACCTAATCTGTAGGGTGTTCACACGATGCGTAATTAATTACATAACTTTTGGTTAACTTTACTTAGAAGTTTATTAATATTTATGTCATATTAATTTTTATTTTGTCATATATGATCGTCAAATATCACGTCCTCAAGTATCGATAGTAATTCACCAGTCACCCTGTATATTATTGTGTTATAAATATAGGCATAAATTGTGTTCAAATTATAAGAGATAAAAATAAAATTAAATGTGCATAGAGAAGCTGGAGACAAAATCATCATAGGAAATGAAATTATAATTCACTTTATTAATAGTAACAAGGAAAGTCGAAACTGACAAAACAGATGACGTTACTATGGTTACAAGAAATCAGGGCTATTATTGGACGGTTGAGTTTTGACAACACAAACATTCTGTTAGCCATTAGACAGAGCTCCAGAGCAGGAATTAATATTAGTGTCTTGTTAAGATATTTAAACGGACATTTATGCGTGGTGGGACGCTCGATACATCTAACAGAGCATCAAACGCATTAACAAGAACCACTCAGTGGCGCGAGCACGTCCTAACACGCTAGAACGCTCTAGCCAACTGTTCGTGCGCTCTGGCGCCGTTTACATCAAGCGAGCGAGCGTTCTCAGAATATTCTATAGAATCTTTGCGAACGCACTAAGAACAATGAAAGAATGCTCTACACCTGTTTACACTAGAAGAATTTGATGTAGTGGGGATAGAAAGAGCATTCGCTCGTTTAATGTAAATCGACCTTTAGGAGAATATTCAATAGTCACGCTACTAGGGATAGTTGAAGGAAACTTGTTATAAAATGTATAATGTAAGAGTTGTCTAACAATCATGTTGTTGTTCATGTATGTGTACGCATGTGTGTACGTGCACGTGTGTGTGTGTGTGTGCGTGTACCTGTTGGGTCTGTGTGGTCGTGTCCTCGTCCGCTGCGCGTCTCCACGCTCGTCCCCCAGTTCAGGAGTAGTGCGGCGGCCACCTGCACAGTTACAAACAATAATAAACATATATAATATGTTCACTTATTTTGTTACATTTTCCCCAACAATATTATCTTATTTCACGTGTAATCTCAGTATTATAAATTTGATAAAGTTATTGACATACATATTACAAACTATGTCATTGGGACAAGACACATTAGAAGAAGGTGAAGTCCCCCACTATAATCACTTTAAACTATTGATTCATAGTTCAAAATTCTAATTAAAACACTCCTGGTACTATGTTATCGCATCAACAGGTCACATTCATCACTTCATCATACAAACACTCTGAACACGGCTGGATGTACTCATTACCTTAATACATTATGAACATAGAAGACAGTCAAAATCTGGTACAATTAAATTAAACACAGCAGTATAACTTATCGTTACTCATGATAGTAAACAGCCGTGTCTTCTACAGTATATAAGTGTATTCAATGTATATGTATGTATACAGGGTGACTGTTGAATTACTATCAATATTTAAGGAGCATACTCGGTACATGATTCTCATTCGAATTATGTAAAAAAAATAGGTACTTAATTTTTGACCAAATTTCCGTATAAATAAATAAAGTGTTGACACGTTCCAAGTGTTCCAAGTGTGGACGCGTGCGGCGGCGTGCTGATACAAAACCACGCCCTCGCCGCGTATGTGTGAGTGTATGTGTATACCTAATCTGTAGGGTGTTCATTCGATGCGTAATTAATTACACAACTTTTGGTTAACTTTACTTAGAAGTTTATTAATATTTATGTTATATTAATTTTTATTTTGTCATATATGATCGTCAAATATCACGTCCTCAAATATCGATAGTAATTCACCAGTCACCCTGTATAAGGTGTATCAATGTGACCCGCTGAGTTTCTTTCGCCGGTTCTTCTCAGGTCAGGGTATTTTCTTTTCCGAACCGGTGGTAGTGTCTCAACCATCTCAACCAACTCTCTGTGACCATCAATAAGATAGTGTAATGCTTCTATATTGAATAAAGTTGTTTGAGTTTGTGTATTAACCGGCAGGGTATCTCGTGTGTGGTAGTCGGGGCCTCCTGGGCCGGGCGGCGGGCGCTCCTCGGGGCGGAGGGTAGGCCCCGGCGACTCCGCCCGTCACCATCCGCAGCTGCTGATCTATTTCCAACTTCTCCGCGCGGAGCTGTTCCACCTCCTAAAAACATATACATATTGACGGTATAATAATCTCAATCAAACCCATCAAGTATAATAAGAATAACAGTATATGATCGAGGATAGTGCAAATCTACGTAAGTAGCATTGGATAATTACGCGTCCATTGCAAGCAAATTACACTGGTCAACACTGGTTTTGCCACATGATGTTTTCCAGACAATTCAAGGGCTATCAGTGACGAGCATGGTGAAAAACTCCATCATGAAATTTCTAATATAGAAAAGCTGTACCAAGGAAAATGGGGCCCATTTAGGCCCATTCTATATTAGAAAAGTTAGCAGCTTATTGCTGGACAATTAAAAGAGACCAACAAGAAGCTTAATACTCGAGAAAATCTTAGGTTACATTCAGTCGTTTAGAAAAAGAAACTTTATTTACTAGATCCTTGTTTTTTCTTAATTTTTTAATTACTCAATAGAAAAAAATTCTTGGCCAGCAACTTTTTTTAAACTGTTTATTTGGTTTTATAATTACCTATTAAAGTAAAAAATAACAAAAAAAGTCTGTGTGGCATTAAAAAGTCAAAATTTTGTTGAGCGCTGTTATCAGAAGAAGGTTTAAGCTGAAATATTTTCTATACAGGGTGACTGGTGAATTACTATCGATATTTGAGGACGTGATATTTGACGATCATATATGACAAAATAAAAATTAATATAACATAAATATTAATAAACTTCTAAGTAAAGTTAACCAAAAGTTATGTAATTAATTACGCATCGTGTGAACACCCTACAGATTAGGTACACACACACACACACACACACGCGCGTGCGGCGGCGTGTTGTATCAGCACGCCGCCGTACGCGTCCACACTCGGAACACTTGGAACGTATCCACACTTTATTTATTTATACCAAAATTTGGTCAAAAATTAAGTACCTATTTTTTTTACATAATTCGAATGAGAATCATGTACCGAGTATGCTCCTTAAATATTGATAGTAATTCACCAGTCACCCTGTATAAACGACTTTTAAGGTATTTATTTTTTTCATAATTAGTAATTATTTATGGTTAAAGATACTTTATTTTTCTCAAAAAGAAATTACATTTCACTTACTTGAGAAAATTATGATCATAAACATAATTTTAAATTAAATTTTCGACAATCAAAATAAATGTATCACTATGTAGTTTATAATATTCTTACAATAAATTTTGCTTTAAACAAGAAATTTAAGACATACCCTCAAAGAAACAATAATTGTGTACAAAACAGCGATAAGAATTTATAGTTTAATTACCTTAAAAGCCGTTAATATAGAAAAAATTTCAGCTCAAACTTTCTCCTGGTACTCTACTTTCAATGCAGTTACGGATATTCGCACTATCCCATCTATATATACAACGTGTACACTGTAGCGTTACCTTGAGATGCGCCACGTGGTATTCCACGAGGACCTTAGCGTTCGCGATGTTCTCCCTCGTGCCTACAAACACGAAGGGCACCATCCCCTCCTCCCGGGGCGCGGAGGGTTGCGGCTCGTTGTCTCCCTCAACCTTGACCCGCACAACCCCACTCTTGTCCACTATCTCCTGTATCACCTTCCCGTTCTTGCCGATCACCTTCCCGACTAACGCGCGCGGCACCTTGATAGACTCCTCCGCATATTCCAGCAGGCAGCGCGCCGCACGCACCGCCTCCAATGACTGCACGTACACAAAAACAACAATCTTATTAGATCACGAAGAGAACCACTCATAAGTAATGGCTGGTCGAAAAATACGTGTTCGGCCCTATAGCCATTTAAGGGAGTAGTAACCCCTGAAGACCGTTTCCGCTATTTTTTATAATCAGGGGCTTCATAGTTCTACATACAATTTATTACACCAGTTTTCTAAATCTACCGACTACATATTATTATTACATATTCATTCAAATTATTGCTGTCACTTCTAACTTTGCACTCGAACCGAACCTTTCTCTTAATTAAAAGCAGCATCAAGATTTTTTTGGGTTTAATTTCCACAAAATTAGGCTCCATAGTGTTCACTACGAAACAATAGGTAAATGCATTGCGATTAAGACTTGTAATCTATTTAAACTAGCGTGGATAAAATAAAGTCCCTTTCTAAATTTACTTCATAGCGTCGATCATGAAGTACAGACAATATCATTTAGTATACTTTAGCTGTAGTGTTATTATTGAATTACTCAGTCTTTTTACTAACATTAAAAACACTGCTTAAACATTTTTGGACGCAGCAAAATATGAACAAAACGAAAATATGTTTGCAACATACAAATCCACTCTTAAAGTTCTCAAATTGATTTCTTATAATTTATCTTTATATATATATAATTCTTCTGTGAGTGTGTATGTCACTGAACTTCTCTCAAACGACTGATCCGATTTTGATGAAATTTTTAATGTGTTTTCAAAGGGATCTGGGAATGGTTTAGATTCACAATTTTGTCCGCCGGACAATGTTTTTTTAATTAATTTTTAAAATATGTCAATCATTCTGTCGCACTTCAAAACACGGAGATTAATGGCTTTAATAGGTAAACTTCAAAAATATAAATAAAAAAAAAGTAACAGATATTTCTTGATTATAGGGCGATACGAATTTCGCCGGGTCTTCTAGTGTATGTATATAGGGTTGTCATTGTTTATCTCGTCTCGTTGGAAGTGAATATAGTGTTGTCAATGTTTATCTCGTCTCGTTGGACGTGTGCGGCGTGTGTTACCTCTCCACATATCTTGAAGGTGCAGGAGATCTCCTCCAGTTCAATGTTCGTGATGCCGGCCACCTTCCTCGCCTGCTGTATGTTCGCTCCGTGGGTGCCGATCGCCAGCCCCATGAGCTCCTCCCGAACACTGAACTCGTCCGTGTATCTGAACACAACATTACATATCGATACCTCCTAAGTATAATGAGTCAACTGACATTATTGTAATTTTACAGGAGAGTGATTTGAAGGCAAATCGTTTATATTTTAATGAAATCAAATTAATTCGAAATAAAGTAAATGTTTTTTTAATAAAAATTGTAAGCACTTCCTTTGACATACAATGATTTTGCTGATTTTTGTTTTTAAATTACATTTTATGTAGATGACTGGGTATACGCCGGCGGGGCTCAATAGTGAAATGGTTTAACTACCAGTTATATTCATATACGTTGTCCACCAAAATCCATCGTTTACACCTAAACCACATGAAATATGGTGGTCATTTTATGAATATATTTTTACTTTTGTTCATTTTCGGGGTTTTCTGTCTCACTTAATAATAAAATGTTGAAATTATATCACTTGACTCATTATACGAGGAAAGTACTAGCAATGTTAGCATTTGAAACCTCAACGTATACTGGACCAATGTAATTTACGGGAGGTTTTTCATTAATATTTTTTTTAATATTTTACGATATGTGGGATTAATAAAAGCTAGGAAGAAGTACAAGAATTATAAACAAAAAAAAACTCATTTTGAAGAATCATAATTTACTTTTCGCCATAATTAAGTAGGAATATCTTTATAAAATAATTGTTTTATAAAAAGCTAAACGTAAACTAATCACTATTAAAAATATGAATGCTCCATCATTAAAGTTCCATAAAAAACAACAAACAATTATCAATCAAAATAAAAACTAAAACAGCGTCTCCTTTAGTAGGTCAATAAAAATAATCAGAACTAAAACTGGCAACTTACGTTAAACATTAATAAAGATTATAGGAACTAATAACGTAACAGTCTAGGTATTTCTAATGCTCAAAAATTAGTGACAAGGCTTAACAAATTAGAAATCAGTCAGAATCGCTATTGTTAGATCCATTAGAAAGCTAGAAGAAAAAATAAATAAACATTTAACAAAATATCGATGTTCCATCATCAAAGTTTCATAGAAAAACAATGAACAATCAATAAAAAGATTATTAAATAGGTACTTCTCTAGTACGTCACCAAAAATAATAAGAATGGTAATGGTAAGGTAATGGTAAAAGAATGGTAATGGTAAGAATGGTAACTTACAAATAATAGAAATTAATAACACAACAGTCAAGGCATTTCTAATGCTCAAAAAATATAAAGTTTAACAAATTAGAGATCAGTCAGAATCGCTGTCGTTAACTTCATTAGAGTCCGTTGAAATCAAATTATTAAAAAATAAATGGTACTCCTTAGGAATTTCCAGCGTCTTACAGAAGTCCATCAGGTCTCTGTGCTTATTTTGGTCAATAGGAATGGGTCTCTGATAAGCTAAAGAAATATTGTTTACAATAAACCAATATATAATTCTTTCGATTTCGTGTAGCTTTAGGTTTTTTTACACAATCTATCCACTTGTAAGAATCATCTTGGTAACTCGTTTAACTTCAATTTCCGTTACCTTATGCCAGAGCATTTTGGCTCCATCGTTGGTAGTTGTCCAGTTGTTTATAAGTTTTAGCTGTGATTTAAAGTCTTTAATTAAATCCTGCGACACTTTAGTAAGTTTGTGTGGCTTTTCATCGGATTTAGCAAATCTAAAAGCTGTATACCATTGATCAGGCGTATAAAGCAACTTATCTTTAGTCTGTGTTTCAATTAAAGTGTGCATATTGTCGCCTTCATTTTGAGTGTGACCCACAACTAATATCTATAACAAACTTCCAACTTGCTAACATATACATTAAGAATACAATTCTGTTTCTATTTTGGCCTCCACAGTTGTCTGACCAGAACCGGTAATCTTTGACACCATTATCTACCGTATCCTCTATAAACTTGAAAACACAGCTGGAAATTTCATTAGCGCCTCTCTTTGCTGTCTGTTGATGCCATGAAAAATAATAACCCTGACGAGATCCCAGATTGAATAGTGTGAAATTATACAAAGAAAGTTTCCGTTTATAATAAAAAGTACTGTTTGACTTCATTTTGTCACTAATAGCACTCGACGCCCATGGTCTTATATTGAGGTGCGATGTAGTTGTATCAACGCGTCCTCCCTCACGCCCCGCGTATACTGGTACAATTTTAGTTAGATCAGTTTACAATGTATGATTTTTACTGATGTTGCAGTTGATTTAGTATACGTGAAATTATTTCGGTAATTATCGTTCTTTTTTTATTTTTTTTAACACAAACGTTAAGATCACGACTTATCACGTACGTTTATATAAAAATATAAAAATACCTAAATTTGTTAGTTGACTCAGTATACTTAGGAGGTATCGATATATTTATAAGTCTGTTTTGGTGATACGTATTTATCCTAAGCTATAGTGTAATAGCTCAACATATTCGTAATGTATATTTATAGCCAGATCAATAAAGTAACTATCTATAAATAGCTTTCCGCCCGCAGCTTTGCCCGCGTGAAGTTCGGTTATATAGTGTTTCTAAGAGAACCTTTCAAAAGTCTGGGATAAAATCTATCCTATGATCTTTCTCGATGTCAACTCTATCTCTGTACCAAATTTCATTAAAATCAGTTCAGTGATTTAGGCGTGAAAGCGTAACAGACAAAAAGACAGACATAGTTACTTTCGCATTTATAATATTAATAGAGATATACAGTATCACTCACCCGCCCTGATTGTGTATTTTAGTGGATTCTAGCTGTCTCGCGGCCTCTTCAGTCTTTTTAAGTAATAGCAGCTTTTGCGTTAGGTTCCTGGAAACAGAAAGAGTAATGTGAGGTCTACGGCGGTTTATAACAACGATAATAATTATATGGACATCGACTAGTGTAGGAAACACTATACTATCGCTTCAGCTTGGCTGTTGACTAGCGACCCTGAGGTTTCCGAATCTCTATCCGCACGCGGGTCGCACGAGCGGCGAGGGAGCCGGCCGTGCGAACCTGTGCGTGTGTGTGTGTGTGTGTGTGTGTGCGTGTATGTACCTGAAGTGCATCTCCTGCAGCATCTGCGCCCTCCTCTGCGAGGTGTCGCAGCGCGAGATGACGGCCAGCGCGCCCCTCTCGGGCACGAACCACACGAGCGCGGCGCCGATCGCCTTCTGGAACTCCTTGTGGGCGTTCTCCACCTTCGCGCTGTGGATGTCGTGAACGCTGCAATCGTACCGCAACAGGTCACCGTGACAACGGACGGCTTAATACTACACACGAGTCACCACTAACACTCGACAAACACGACCTACCACCTCTACTACTTTATTATTTAATATAACATGCAACTATCTTTTCATATTAACTGTCTTATCATATTGTTCTGGTTCTAACAGCTACTTTGAACAAGAACGAAACTAGTCTTTTATGAAAACAATATTTTTTTCTTCTCTTAAACCTAACCTGACTAACCTGAAATGGCAGCATCTAGTTAATGTAAATGAAAAGAAAAGAGCTACTTAGTGTATGTCTCGATTTAAATACAAAATATTTCCAATAATTTTCTACCATCGAGATTTATCCATTACTAATTTATATATTCTTTAGAGGTATCTAAATGAACCTAGACTGGGAATAATTTAGGAACAGAAACAAGGGAGGTGTTATTGATAGAAAACTTGTTATGTTCAATAAGTTCAGTAGTTTTCGAGGGTCATTGACCGCAGCATATTCTTCAAAACTGCCATCATCGATCTTATATTTCTATTTCTGCGTGTGTGTGTGTGTGTATGTGTGTGTGTGTGTGTGTGTGTGTGTGTGTGCGCGTGTAACTCACTAGTCCTTGAGATCATCGGGTACTGTGATTTCAAACTTGTGGAAGGTGTTCTTATCTATGGGCGTCTTGGGCGTCTTGACCCTCAGCCGGTCCTTGGGCACGATCTCAGTGTAACAGTTGTCCCACTCGAGGTACTCGATCACGAGGAACTCGCCTCTGATCATCTGGAAGAACATCACACGACATATTATACACTGGATAAAAAATACCTTTTAATCATCGGAAATTATCGAAAACTATTTGGAAAGACGATATTAATTAAAACGCGATCATCTCACTGCTAGTTCCATACAAAAATAGATACACCAATAAAATACACGTAACCGCTGTTTGAATAACATTTTTGTATAAACTTTGATGTCATTTTATTTTATAGCTTTAAAACTTTTAACGTGAATACAGAAAATAAAATTAATGAAACGGTCACAGTATTGAGAGAAAACTGCAACATTATATTAGGAATTAATAAAAAGAAGGTAATTTGCTATACGGTACGAGGTCATTGACCCCTAGAGGATATCGCCAAACAATTGCACGTCTAGTCTCACACCAGAAGCGAGATTTATTATTGACTTCGATACAAAAGAGGCTGGGAGTAAGTGTTATCTTAAATGATATGAAAACAACAAAGACTCGACAAACCGGATTATGTACAATAAGACGCGAGATCTGTCTCTCTCGTAGTGTACTACATGTTACTATTAACAAGTGTACGGAATATATTACTGGCGTACAATATATTGACTATCACGGATTATGTTTACACGTCCTTGTAAAGGGATGAGTCACTTATCGAAGTTATGGCGGATTTAAGAAAATGACATAAGTACTACCTAACATAAAGTATTAACGAATAATTTATGTATTTTGGAAAACAGCTGATACTCTTACACTGCTGGACCGAAAGTAACCAAACATATGCCAAGAAACTGTCTTTAAAATGAGAAAAAAAGCATCAAAAAAGATCGATCCGTTTGAGAGCTAAGATGATACAGACAGACATTGACAATAGCCTTATAATACACGTATTTTTGTGTGACAAAGCTTACATATAGTATGTATAAAGTACGTTATATTAAAGCATCTTCATCAGTAATGATTCTCTGGTCTGATGACGTCATCCGTGACCACCGAGACTGACCACTGATAACACAGTCATTACTAAACGTTATTATTGATAAAAACTGAACAAACAAAAACTCCTTAAACAGTTTATTTACGTCTACATTATGTTCTTCATGTTTTTTTGTTTTCATAATCGGTCATTGACCCGCGAATTAAACTTGACACATTTAGGTATAAAATGTATTATATAATATTTACTTATCACTGCATTTAGGATTTAAAGTCTGGGTGTAATTAAGGTAATGAACAGACAGTAATAGTAACCTTAGTAGTATTTTGCGTTGTCAAAACAAAATACGCAGAGTTTCCAGTTAAAACGAATCAGAGCGTACGAAACTATAGCAGACAACAATGAATAGAAACGGATTTAAGACAAAGACGGTTAAACGAAACAGTCGCGATCCGTACTTCAAGGTCGTTACACGCCAAATATTGAAATGAGTACAGATATTAATTATCAACACAAACTTTTAAAGCTCTATAGAATAAAGGTACGAGCCTTTATATGTTATGTTTAACTTAAACACAATATCAATATTATATACTAAGTACCGACAATCCACAGATTATGGAAGTTACCGGCAAAAGTTGGGCTCGCTAACGGAGAGCCTGCCTCAGATTTATACAACTAGAAATATAAATAACTTAATCTCTATAGAATACTCTAGATTTAATAACTAAGTTATTGTGTATTATTACTGTGGCTGAATATTAAATAACTCATGTAGTACTTTTATATGTGATAAAAATTATTTCTATAAATAAATAACCAAACAACTCATTTTGTACACAAATTAAGAAAATATGTGTAGTTTTAGACATTAATCTAACAGAGAAATTATTAATAACTTGTTTTTCAATATCAATGACAACACTATTACTGAATGTTTTCTTAAGAATTCTAAATTATTATGATCCATAACATAATAAAGCAAAAATTATAATATTTTTAGAGTTACATCATGCTATCAGATTTAAAAAATATACTGTAATAAGGCGCCTAGAAAATAACTATTTTCAGTAAACAAACAGAGACTATACCGATGAAATATCAAAGCTCTAATCCATTCTATTTAAAAATAAGCTTATTTTTGATTATAGTGTCCCTTCTATAAGAAAGTAATTTTTTTCTATATATTTAAGTAACAGCTTCATATTATAATAACAAACAAACATACCATATATAAAAATACAACCAATTTCTAACAAAAATTTAAACACTTCACTTAATATTTTAACAAAATCATTATAAATATTGACTGTACATTATACATAATAAATCACTTTCTCAAGTGTGACTGAAGCCCATATCTGTGTTTGTGCTACATGAATATGCTAGAAAAACTGACATGACTTTATTAATAGTGATCGCATGAACAATTTTAAGACTTCACATTATTTACAAACTATATTTAATATTTAGATATCAAGTGAATACTTGATAATTATATATTATGATTATTCATTGGTAATTTATTTTCTTATAAGAATATGTATAAAAATATATATTTTTTGGGATAATAAGTCAAAGATTAAATGTATCAAATTCTATAAATAATTATATCTATATTTTTTCCCTTCTAGACTCAATTTAAGTGATACCAAAGGGTTTAAATACTGGTTTACATTATACAAGACTAATTGATGACAGCTGCTTATCTCCTCTAGTGTTTAATACAACAATACAAGCACTACAGATATCAACTATGAATCTTGTTGAGGGTAAATTTGTAAATTTGCCTGTTTATCCATTAATATAACTAACTATCGAACCAGTAGCGCTTTGTTCGACGACTTCACAAAAAAAATAAAAATAACGTAATTTAATACCTTAATATTTGCTGTCCACCACCCACATGCTTCCTTCTCATTTGACCTCGCGAATACTTCGACCTCCTGATTCTCCACAAAATCTGTGTGCTTGCCAGTATCCTTTGGTGGTAGGAACACTTGAGAGAACAAAAACTTAGATTCTGGCTGCCAACTAAAAACGAATGATGCTCATGAGTATGATGTGAAAATAGATCAAAATACTCCATTTTATTTATACACTCACTCATTTTCGAAAGCTACAAGGACCTCGTTGTCGAGCACGTCGGTGACAATGGCCTAAAAATACAGAAGAATTGTAGAACAGTCGCGATCAAATAACTTGGTAGTGCGAAAAATAAAAATATTAAATTCGGTTCCAGTCATATATTGTAGCACAGGGGTTTTGTCATGCAAAGATGTTATTGTATCTCACCAAAGCGTATTTAAATATGTTAAACCAAATGAATAAAACACATGGAAAATTCACGCCCTGTCAGTCGGACATGGCGTCCATTCCAGCCGCGGTGAACTTCCCGGAAAAATATTTTAGTAAGTATGTAACGAAACTTTAAAACAACGGCCTCACATAACTTAATATAGAAATCACTAACAAAAATTACACGTTTTGCGTTAAACTCAGCCGTACTTCACGATTTACAAACCTTATAATAAGCACCATTTTCACCGTACACCTCGACCGACAAATCCTCCATTTTGGTTTGAAAGCGTATTTGGCGTTTTCAGAGCGAGAATGAAGCTCCAAGAGAAATTGCTAGCCAATCATTTGCGAGTATTCACGCATAGACGATATTACTTCTTCTAAATCATAATACTGGCAACATAATTGCACACAAAGCGAATAAAATACTTATTCAAGAATATACAATGAATTGTGAATGTTTTTTTTTAAATTTAGAATGTCAATTTTATTGTTGCCCAATAACAAATATGACTCCTGAAATATTAGGAATATGTTTGGTAGTATTTTTATAACTGTTTAAAAAATATTTCTAATTATCCTAAACTAATTTTATTTTTGTTGCTGGAAAGTATTCTATGACTGAAAAGACAACATAGAATTTTATAATACATGTTGGGGATTCACCGACACATTGACTTATACTAATAGACATGCCGTACGCGTATAATCTGCAGTAATTTTTTTGGTTTGAAAAGAGTGAAAGAGATGGCCTATGCTTTCGGTCTAGCACTATCTCTTTCCTCATAGATGATTGGCGCTTAGTTTTCATGACAAGCAGGCGTTATAAATTATCCAGGAGGGGCTCATCACGTCTTAAGTAAGGTACTATTTTGAGAGCGATAAAGATAGACCAAAACTTCGTTACCTCTCTTTCTTTCGGAGTGCCACAATTCTCATCTCTAAGGCATGTCCATTAGTATATGTTGATGCACCGGCCTGTGTCCGTTCTTACGTTATAGAAGTAACCTGACGTTACTAACACTCGCTCATAATATGTATTGTTAGAGAAATCCCGCAAAACATTTTTTATGTCTGTTTATAGAACTTTTTCGGGTAATCTTCTTTCCAAAAGCTGTATTACACCACTGCTAAAATAAAATATTACCCAAAAAAAACTTATTTACATTAATTGGTATAGGTACGATCTTCAGTTGTTACTTGCATATTTATTTTAATTGTTAATGAATGCTTGTGTATACAACTCTTAATACTTACTCTACTTTAAATATTTTCAATTATAATAAAACCAAAATAAATGAATAAAAGGAAATCAATAGCTATATAAATTAAGTAATATTTTATCTATCTATAATTTTTATACTTTTTCACTGAGACAGTGCAATGCTTTTTATTCATAAACTGAAACAGAAATTACATATAGCAAAAAAGAAATTTAAGACGAAAACAAGAGTTTTGTTATGACATTGACAAACAACATTCTATTATTCTATATTGTAGGAGACCGCCGGTTGGGTAATATGTACACTATGATATTATTTGTGCTGTAACAATCGAAGAAAGTCCACGTTGGCCATTTAATTAATTTATATACCGCAGATATTATCGAAGTAATTAAGTAAATTAACGAGCCATTTTATTTCAAATATATTACTTAGATTCACAAAATAATAATGAGTGAAGATAAGAACGTTATACTCGTCACTGGTGGTTCAGGACTAGTCGGACAGGCTATAAAGACTGTTATAGAAGAAGAAAGAAAATTAGACAGTGAGCCAGTTAGAAATGAAACTTGGATTTTTTGTGGCTCCAATGATGGGGATTTGAGGTAAGACATCCTTTATAGGAAAGTTCTCTTAACAATAGTATTGCATCATAACTATGGTGTTTTATGTTGTAGAGATAAAACCCAAACTGAGGCATTGTTTGAAAAACACAGACCAACTCATGTAATACATTTAGCAGCCATGGTAGGAGGCCTATTTCACAACATGGCTCATAATTTGGATTTCTTTGTGAGTTTAACTTTATATACATTAAAGTTATTTCCAGTTGAATCTATAACAATTAATCTTATCTGTATGTTTTAAAACATGATTTGTTACTTAGTTTTTATGTATCTATATCATTAATTTATGTTTAATCTAATGTTTTATGATTTCAGAGAGAAAACATGTCTATAAATGATAATGTTTTGAATGTGAGCTACAATTATAAAGTTAAGAAAGTAGTATCCTGTCTCTCTACATGCATATTTCCCGATAAGGTCACCTATCCCATTGACGAGACTGTGGTGGGTATCATAAAGACACAATGTTCATTGTGATATTGACTCGGACAAGTTAATTTAGAGTTTTTATGATTAACATACCATTTCAGTGTTGTTTTACAATTGTGTCACAAATTTTTCTTAGTCGAGAAACATAAATTATTCAGTAGTACTTTGGGTTGTATTATTTTTTTATGAGATATACACTTATATTTATTAATACAATTTATTTTTATCATGGAAAACAGATTGTATGAAATTAAACTAAATTAAAAATTACAAATAACTATCACATTATATAAAAATGTATTAATTGTAAATGGCTTAATTGTAATCTTAGTTGAAATTGTTACTTAAATAGTTTGAGTTTGATTAGTTTTTTAATTTCAGATACACAATGGTCCACCCCATCCATCCAACTATGGCTACAGCTATGCAAAGAGGATGGTTGATATTTTGAACAGGTGAATTTAATGATGAAATGGGTCTTTCTTAATGCATATCATCTGAGTATTTAATGTTTGAATATTTTTTTTCAGAGGGTATCACTCCCAGCATGGTTGTATGTTCACATCAGTAATACCATGTAATGTCTTCGGACCTCATGATAACTTCTCCCTGGAGTCGAGTCATGTCATCCCTGCCTTGATACGAAGAATGGATGATACTATTAAAAAGGGTAATAATTTTTCCCATTGTTATGTATTTAAATTAACTTTAACAACAAAGGCAAAACCTTTTGAGAGTACATATTGTTTCATATAACTTTTAGTTTCTATGTGGCTCTATATACAATATAACTGATGATTGAATTAAATTTTATTGAAGACTCTTGGAAATTTATGAACATTTAAATATTATACTGGCATGTGTGATTCACTTGATTGAGTGATTGTAGTACAAAAATGTCTTCCATCTTTTTGGAAAGCAGATCAATATTAACTAAGCATAGCTAAGACCCAAAAAAACTGTCTTTCAATTAAAAAAAAATCTTATAAATAATTCTATCTGTTTGAAAGCTATGATGCCCCAGACAGACAGACATCAAACACACAAAATCCCCTTTTCTGTTAATATGTCAAATGTTTGAAAGATTTAAAGGTCAAATAACTGCATGTTCTAGGTGCTGGTAAAAATATAACAAGTCTTTTTTTTTTTAAAAAAAAATTAAATAAACGCCTTTATTCCATTCCATTCCTTTGTGTTTTCTCCACATAGTACACGAGATTATTTGTCCTCCAACCAATAAAAACATTGACATTGGCTAAATATTCCACGAATCCAGTGTGAATGAAGGCATAGCATAAAAAACAATGAATAACATCCATTTGTGTTGTAGGCGAGCCAACCTTCACTGTACTCGGCAGTGGAAAACCTCTACGTCAGTTTATATACTCCCTGGACCTGGCTAAATTATTTGTGTGGGTGTTGAGGAATTACAACAGTGTGGAACCAATCATATTATCAGGTATACGAGTTTTATTAGAGAAGTTTTATTAGAGAAGAGAATATAATCCATATTAGTTTTAATAAATAATATATTTGTACTGTAGTAATCAATAAAACTATATTAAAGTCATGTATGTATTGAGCTAAGTAGAATGTATGTTTGTGTGTATGTATGTATTATGTATGAATATGTGTATGTATATATGATAATTATAATTTAAATACATTTACTCTTTATAAAATGTGACACCACCTTATGGTACATCTACTTTTATTTTGTATATATTTCATTTTTATTGTTAAATTACTATGTTATTGTGGTGTACAATAATGTATATTATTATTATTATTAAGTAGCAAACTGAATGATAGCAACTAATATAATAAATTAATCTACCTACAGTACACTTGACATTATATTATTTTAACTAAATTAGCAAGTATAACTAATATATAACATGTAATTACTTTTTATTCTTTAGTTGATGAAGATGATGAAGTTACAATCAGTCAAGTGGCAGAGGCGATAAAGAATGCTCATGGTTATCAAGGAAAGATTGTATATGATACAAGCATGGCAGACGGACAATACAAGAAAACAGCTTCAAACAAGAAACTGAGATCCCTATACAAAGAATTCAACTTCACACCTTTTGATAAAGCTATTAAAGATACGGTTGACTGGTTCAAGGATAACAGAGACCGAGCTAGACTATAGATAGTATAATTAAATATATTACAATGTTATAATCATAGTGGTATCGTAATTGAAAAATATACATATTCAAACATACGGAATTGTCCATACCGATAGTGATGATTGTTTTAAGCGTAATTTATTATTATAATCAACCGATTACAGAGTATTTATGTGTTTGTTATTTTAATAAAAGGAAAGTCTTGTCATGATTAAATTAATTTATTTTCTATAACATGAATCACTCGGTGCAATAGAATATAAGTAATAAATTACTGTATGTTTCACTTATCGAGCCTGCATATAGGGTTGTTTTGAACCATTTGCAGGTCCACTTTAGGTCCCACAAGATCTCTTATGTTATTTAAGCCATATTTGATCATAGTAGGTCTTTCCAAAGATAAGCCCCATGCAATTACATTGACATCTTCAGGCAAACCCATGGGTAGTAGCATCTCTGGTCGGAAAACACCTGAATTTCCGATTTCAATCCACTTTTCTAGACCTGAAAATAAATATAGTTATATATTATGTTTTGATCATGATTTGAGAAATTTTATCACATCTAAAAGTATAGATGAAACAACTAATTATAATTTATTTATTTATTTAGGCACACAAACAGAATATAATCCGGATTACATATGAGTTAGTCTAAAATTATTTTTAGCTTGATTATACATATTCCTAAGGATGTGTACACGGCGTAATCATTACAAGAACAATATTTTTGTCAGGTGCTACATTATTTAGGTACAATTTAAGACTAATGATTGATGGTTATATGTATATTGTAATGTTTTTTTAAGTTAAGTTTAAATATAGTTACCATTATGGTAAGCGAATATCTCCATACTGGGTTCAGTGTATGGGTTGTAAGCGGGTTTGAACTGTAGTTTATCGAAGCCGAGTCGCTTGAAGAAGTCGTCCAAGACCGTGATGAGGTCGGCCAGACCCAAGTCCTTGTCAGCGATGACACCCTCCACCTGGTGGAACTCCGCTAAGTGGGTCGCGTCCAGGGTCTCGTTACGGAATACCTGCACAGGTCACACGTGCAAACTTAGTGAATGGGCTTACTTTGAATAGTAATTAATGTTGCTGGAGCGGCAATATGTTAAACCTACTAATATTATAATTGCGAAAGTTTGTGAGTGTGTGTGTACGTTTGTTACTTCTTCACGCTCAAACGGCTGAACCGATTTTGATAAAATTTTGTATACAGGAAGCTGACGTCCAAGAATAACATATAGACTACTTTACATCCCGGAAATCCGCGGGTAACACCGCGGGGCGCAGCTAGTACATAATAATTTTATTAATAAGTAGATATGTACTCATTATAGTTTTAAATGTGAGAAACGAGCGTGATGGTCTACGTTCTTCGAAGTTCGATAGTTTTGTTATAGCCTATAGGAGTGTTGTAGTTTGAGACTAGGGACTATTACGATATGAGATTAGATTTCTAATAAGTAGTGTTCCTATTTCCTGACCCATACATAGCCTTAACTGCTATAACAAAGCTGCAATGACAAGCATATGACCTGAAGTGTATCAACATTTTCTTGGTAACAGGCTGAAACGAGTAACTCTTGCTGTATGAGCGCAGAAGTATGGTAGGTGTAAACATATATCAATATAACTGAATTTGTCATTGTTTAATTGTTTGGTTCAGCTTGTTCGTAACGCACACGAGATACACATCTTACGACGGATCCGCTGATATCAGGACGAGGGAGAGGAGGACCATACGAAATCTTCTACCTGGCAATTTCTCCCAGCTATAGCCAGGGTCTGCCTTAAATGTTGTGAATAGTTTTGGCTAATTGTTTTTACGACCGGCCGCCTGACTGACATCAACCCTCTAGGAATTGAGGACCATACGAAATATACTTTTAGTATTTGGAATAAAGACCACAGTACACACTAAGGGTTTATGTACACGTTAACCTTACCTTATCTATACTGAAGCACTTGATGGGTGTGTGTTTATCTGCTCGCTTGTACAAGGTCCTCGCGCTGACGGCCGTCGTGTGTGTCCGGAGCAGATTCTTCTGAGCTTCCTCCAGCCGCCAAGTGTACCGGTAACCCTGAACATGATATTTCATACATATTATACTAGCTTTCCGCCCGCAGTTTCGCCCGCGTGGAGTTCGGTTATATCGCCTTTCCAAGAGAACCTTTCAAAAGTCTGAGATAAAAACTATCCAATGTTCTTAACTCCATCTCTGTACCAAATTTCATTAAAATCAGTTCAGTGGTTTAGGCGTGAAAGCGTAACAGACAGACAGACATAGTTATTTTCGCATTTATAATATTAGTAGGGATATACAAAAACTTGTATCTTTTGACTCATTAGCAGTTGGTTTAGTTCTGTTTGTGGCTTTTAATTGGTTTATATTATATAAGAACATAAATTTTACTCCCTTTGTGAATGTTATAAATTAATGTACATTAAAATACATGGAACAATTGGAAATCATCATATGGCACGAGGTATTACAACTTATTTTAAAATAGAATTTCTTTGAAAGCCTTACAAAATAAAGATTTAACATTAAAAATTTGTTTTTAAAGTACAATTTGATGTCAACTTATCTATAGGAATGTATGTGGGTAGTATTTTTTTAGTAACAATATACAGGGTGACTGGTGAGTTACTATCAATATTTAAGGACGTGGTAGTTGACGATCATATATGACAAAATAAAAATTAATATAACATAAATATTAATAAACTTCTAAGTAAAGTTAACCAAAAGTTATGTAATTAATTACGGATCGCGTGGATACCCTAGCTGCGTTATCGACACAAAACAGTTATGTACGTAGGCATATGTAGTTATCGCGCGGTAGTTTACCTACATCCAAACGCCGCGCGCCGCCGCGTGTTAGACCTTAGATAAACAAAAATGATCCAATTCCCTTCATACTTTAATCCTGGCTTAGGACAGGCAAAAATACCAAGATATTTCTTTCGTTTAAGCAACCAATTTATTGACTAGGTAAATGGTGTGACCTTGACACGAAAAATAATATGAACTGTTTACCTATCTTGGTATTTCCGGCGTATTTAAAAATGGAATCATTCTTATTTACAACAATTGTCAATCATTAAACTACCTATTTACCTACATAACTACACTAACCTTAACAAATGTTCAAAGCGAGCTCCTTCTCGTGTGATACACAGTTCGGCACGTTTACACATATTGTCTTTCACACGATTTAATACGAATGGGTCACTTTTAATAGTTTCGAAAGCACTATTGATTTTTAATTTCAACTCCTCTCTGTTGACATACATTGTAGCATACACAAGACGTTTCCTTGGGCATGTGTTGGAACACGGAACTGTCCGAAGTCTCGTAATCTTTGATTAGCGTTTAAGATGACGCTGGCCGTAGGTACTCGACGATTGGGGAACATCTCTCGGTACAAATTGATTGCGCCCGGCAAGCTTTCATTTGCACGCGCATACGCATGAACCATGTCCAAGTATTCTGCATTTGTGTATTGAAAAGCCATATTTAATTACTAAGAAGTAATAACGGGTCACACGCACACACGACAGATTATTATTAGGTATACGCGTAAGATCGATCGCTAGGCGCGCGCGCGGGAAGACGAGCGTACGGACCTTACGGCGGCGCTCGCGCGACTAATAGCCGACTAATGGCCCGCTAGCCACGGGGCGGGGGTTGGGGAGTAGCGACACACTGGCGCCGGCAAGGCTGAGTACGTGTCCAAACTTTATTTATTTATACGGAAATTTGGTCAAAAATTAAGTACCTATTTTTTTTACATAATTCGAATGAGAATCATGTACCGAGTATGCTCCTTAAATATTGATAGTAATTCACCAGTCACCCTGTATATCTATCCCATACTAATGTTATATCCCAATAACTCACCTGAGAGCCATAGCCTCCTTCACTATGAACCTTTTTGACTTTCTCCAAATAGTCCATGGGAAACTTTGTTGATACAGCCGGTGAGGAGATGAAGAAAGTATCGTGAGCGTCCCGGGCCGGGTGTTGCTGAGGTTGGAACAGAGCATCGAAGTTCCAGAACGAACTCTCCACATAACGATTAGTTGGCATTTCCGTGAAACCCATCTCTAGGAATATTTCACGGAATTCGGATCTCACTTTCAGTAGAGGGTGCAGGTGACCCGAATCGGGCGGTTGACCTGCAATAATAATAGTTCCGTTAAAAAACTGACGGTTTTTTTTATTGAATTAAAACTTATGCGAATTCCAAAGGTTGCGTTAAACGTTTTACATTGAAGGAGAGAGATAGAATAGTTGAAGGGTACGCAAATTTAGAAAGTAGGAAAGAGAAAGAGAGTTGATAGACTCCAGACACATGCTCATAGTATTCTTGCTATGCGGCGAAGTAAACAGTGTGAGCGACGTGAGATTAGCTTAAATAAGTATTTCTTCTATATTAAAATTAACAAATATTTATAATATTTATTATTGGTTGATTCGATACACATATAATTTAAGAGGGTAGTATTTCAAATTTAGTGAATATGTATTGTATACAATTACGAAGTTTGACTTCTTCCATGGGGAGGGATTCCATACACTATTTTTTTTTCTGCATTAATTTAGTTGCAACCTAATTTAATGTTGATATTACCAAATGTTCAGTACACAACCATACTTAATTGGTTATTTCAAGATAAGAAAAATGTTGCAATATGCATATTATACATTATTTATGAAAAAAAAAAGCTTTATCTCCTACCTTGCCACAAACATTTTAAAAACCTCTTGCAAAGGTATACAGAGTATTTGATTCACTTATTTATATTACAACAATCTTATCAATACACAATTCAAATACTGAGTAGGACACTTAAAAATACATTTTATATCTTCATATTACTACAGTTATCTATCATAATTAATTATTGCATAAAAGTCCTAGATACATTACCGAGAGCATCAAAGTTGTAAGGCTTGAACTGTAAATCTTTCCACGCCCCAGTCATAAGCATTTCACTTGTTATATCTGTTTCCAGTTTCTTGATAGTTGTCGCAAACTGAACACCCTTTGATAGAATGAAACTCTTGAATGTGATCTCTTGAAGTAACTTTCTCTTCTTATAATCACTTCTCTCTTTATCTGGGATATTGTCGACGCCATTCTTAATCTCGTTGAGATGGTTTTGTACAGTGTCTGTTATGGAATCAATTTTCTTCTTAACAAGAGGTGTTCCTCCAGATTTATCTAAAACTATCCATCCAGCTGACATTGCTTTGCTGAATCCGACTTTTGCATTTGGTACAGTCTATAAGTGTAAAGACAAGTGTTTGTTAGCTTTCAATTTGATTAACAGTCTAGTTAGAAACTAGAAAGAGTAATAAAACATGCAATAAAGCTTAAATAATACTAAAATTAAATACTCAAAAATTTATAAGTTTGTTTTAAATGATAATTGTTTTGCAGATAAGTGTTTTGCAGTAATATTTGAATTTTAAATTACCTTCATAACTTCAACTTGAGATATTCCATCTTCAGGAATACTTCGGTATAAAACGGCTTCATGACTTCCCTTCTCAGCTACTAACTTCCCCTCTTCCGTAAGTTCCCATTTCGTACTTTTCACCGGTTCAGACAATACCATGTCCAAAGCTTCAAGACTTTTCACAGCACCCACTATTTTTTGATGATCCTCATTGAATTCATTGGCGAGCTTCAACGTATCAGCCTTTTCATTTTCATCTAAATACTTTAAAATTCTCTCGTTTAATTCCATTTTTTATTTTATAACTAATTAATTAATCGTTCTTGAGGTTATGATGTTCAAACCACACAGGTGACTTTGACACGTTTTGACATTGTTTGGAAGTGAAATGTCAGATATGAAATGATTTTGCATTGTACATTATTTATAATATTTAATTCTATTAAAAAATAACGTACAAAGAAATATTTTAAAACAATTTTGTTCAAAACTATATAATTAGAAAACTAAGAAATTAAAATAAGTATGCATAATGGAAAAAAATATTTGAAAATTCAAAATATTGTAAAAAGTATATCTTTTTCTAATGTAATTCTCTTAAAATAAAAAATGAGTGTGAGCGTATTTTATTCCCTATATATAAGTATGATATATCCTTATATTTCGAATATTAAATTTGTATCTGTTTAAATTGTATGTACAATTATTATGACATATGTCATATGTTTTATGGTCTGTGCTATCATGAATTTATAATGATAACAATTGACTTCCTTCAACGAATTACGAAATTCTACAACGACCGGTTGACGTAATCGTGGCGGCCGGCTTTTCAGTTTTAATATAATTCTCGTAATGTAAACAAAGTGTTCTATACTAAAAAAATATTTTAGTGTTAAACTTGAGTTCGTTCTAGACGCACAAAAGCAAATGTAAGTAACATTTAAGTTGAATAAGGATTTTATTGTTTACTTTTAGTGCTCATTCGAATAAGAGGGTCAATTCCAATACAGCATCCTATTAGCTATTATGATTCTTCTCATTGCGGTAATAAATAAACAAAGGTTCTTATCGTTAGGTCGTGGGGGATACGAGATAAAAATAGTGGAAGAATTAAATTCGCGTAGGAGATGCATTCAAATATTTTATGCTTGAGACCATTTATGAAGTTGTTTTCTAAGTCTAGCGAAGTGAGTAATAATTTATCAGGGCCTGCAATTATTTTTTGTTGTGCAATTTTTTTAACTTGATAAAATTATAACTCTACTTCTTTCGACTCTTAATAATACACCTAGTTGTTATACTATTCAAAATACTTACTTTAAGAGCATTTTATAGTTCTGTTATGATCATTTTGAATTTCACTATTGCTGGTTTCTTATAGAATAGGTGAAAATTTTGATATATTTTTGGTGAAAAAATTATGGTAAATATAATATAAGTAATCATATATTTTATTAATACCATTATATTATATTGCTTTTTAAGACTAGCCACACGTCGGATCGAACCCTATATGGACGTTTTTTAAATCGAACCTTTTTTGAACCTTGGAATCGAAATTTCTTTACCATGTTAGCGTTAAGTCGAAAATAAATATACAAGCATTTAATTTAATTTATATTTTAATAATATTTCACTAACAAAATACACTTTTTGGCACATTGTCGTAGATGTCTCGCTTGGATCTCGTAATTTTCGGCGCGACGGGCTTTACTGGTAAGCATGCCGTGATGGAGATGTACCACATCGCCAAGAAGTATCCTGGCATGAGCTGGGGAGTGGCGGGTCGATCAGAGGACAAGCTTAACAACTTGCTGAAAGAAGTCTCCAAGAAAAATGGTGAGTGCAATAAGTTCCAATATGGCGTCCCATATATAAGATTATTTTGGGTCTGTAACATTTTGTGATATCGCCAGTGTTTGAACGAATATATGTATTTACATTGTTTTTAACTTGATTTATTATAACAATATGATTGGGTTATATTATATTGTTGGGAGGAATGTACAAACTAGTGACTCAATACGATAATTTTTATAGCATCGATAGTTTGATGTTTCTGTTTGAAATGTATGAAAATATTAATTTGATCTATGTTCATCAATCGAAATCAGATGTTAATAAAACTATTATTTATTTAGTAATTGTTAGGATTTGTACGTAATGAGATCTAAGATTTTCGCGAGTACACATTTAAATGAAACTAATATTTTCGGATTTTACTTCGCGTTTTATTTTAGAAACTACGAGAGAGAGACGAGATGTCGTCTGCCCGTGATCACGGTTGCTGAAAAGTAGCCGAAACGTCGGGAGTATGTAGTTTCTAAAATAAAACGCGAAATAAAATCCGAAAATATTAGTTTCATTTAAAGGATTTGTACGTGTTTATATATAAACTAGTTTTCGCCCTCAACTTCGTCTGTGTGAGCATAAGAGTTGCGCTTAGAGAGAATTCTACAAGGTTCGAAAACAATACATATATGTAGTAACCTTTTAATTTTAAATAACCTAGATACTGACTACAACGCCATCTGCCGGGCTGATTAGTTAATTTAAGCCATGAAACATACAAAAAAACATTAAAATCGGCTCAGCCGTTTAGGAGAAATACATTGACATACACACGTACAGTAGAATGATTATCTTTGGTTATACTAAAATAAACTTTTTGTTTATATATACGTATATTTAAGTTTTTGTTTTCGGCCAATTTTTCCTCTCTTATTTTATTATTTAATACAGAATACTAATGAAGGCAACCGGTTTTGACGATGCATAGTTAATGTCTCGCAAAGTAATTTCTTTATATCGCCATATAATTGCTTTCTTTTTTTTCGGGCCTCTGTGAGTTTGTTATGTATTCAAGAATTTTTAAATATTTTTAAAAAGTATTCATATATAATATATTATGTTCGTGATGAAATATGATATTAATTTAAATAAATAATTAATTATCACCTACATATAAACTTGAATATATGTTTTTTTAATCAATAATGAGATACAGAAATAATATAATCCAAGATTATTCGATTATTATACTAATTGAGTCAAAAGTTATGAATTATACGCGTTTGCTCAAAAATTTCTTTTATTCGCATTAATTATTATTTATTTTTCATAGTAAATTTACAATATGCGTTTTTTTTAACTTATTATTAACTGTGTGCGATGTGACTTACAGTTTCAACGTGCTGAGCAATGAGTTTGTAACGTGGACTAAGGTTACATTGATGAAACTGTATAATAAAATCCAAGTTATTTCGCATTTCCTTTGATTTAAACATCGTAATCTTTTATGAAATATTGAAAGAAATTTTAATAAATTAATAAAGATGAATCATTAGGGTTATAGCGTGACAAAGTATATAAACTTATACAGGGTGACTGGTGAATTACTATCAATATTTAAGGAGAATACTCGGTACATGATTCTCATTCGAATTATGTAAAAAAAATAGGCACTTAATTTTTGACAAAATTTCCGTATAAATAAATAAAGTGTTGACACGTTCCAAGTGTTCCAAGTGTGGACGCGTGCGGCGGCGTGCTGATACAACACCACGCCGCCGCACGCGTGTGTGTGAGTGTGTGTATACCTAATCTGTAGGGTGTTCACACGATGCGTAATTAATTACATAACTTTTGGTTAACTTTACTCAGAAGTTTATTAATATTTATGTTATATTAATTTTTATTTTGTCATATATGATCGTCAAATATCACGTCCTCAAGTATCGATAGTAATTCACCAGTCACCCTGTATACATATATACTAGCTACGCCCCGCGGTGTTACCCGTCGATTTCCGGGTTGTAAAGTAGCCTATGTGTTAGTCCTGGACGTCAGCATCCTGTATATAAAATTTTATCAAAATCGGTTCAGCCGTTTGAGCGTGAAGAAGTAACAAACATACACACACACACTCACAAACATTCGCAATTATAATATTACCTAGTAGGATATGTCTCTGCTCAATTATTAGGTACATATTTGAAATATATGAGGATAGTTGAAATTATCAGGTGTCACCTGCATAACCACCTGCGTAGCCACCTGCAAGTGTAGTATAAATAGATGATTAGAGATGGTTATCGCACCAGCTCCAAGGTTACCTTCAAGAGTCTCAAATCCCAATGATATTTACGAATAAAGTCGTCGATGACGTCAGTGATGACGTCACTCATTCAAAAAACAGAGTGCTCCTACACCGACATATATAATAATATAATTTATATACTATTATATATCTGTTTAAGTTTATCCTTAAAGAACAGTTGGTAGTGACCTTGATCTCACTGCCGTTGGTTGAAGATAATTACAAAGCTAATTTGCTTAGGACACTTATGTTAATGTATGTACGTCATGCATAGGTTTTTTGTTTAATAAATAAAGGGAACGATGTAAAATAATGATTCTGTTTTATAAATGACTTTTTTTATTATTTTTCATGATAAAATTCAATGTACAAGTTGTTAAAATAACAAGAGAAATTAGTTAAGGATGTTTTAATATTTTTTTGAATTAGTTTTTAAGTTATTAAGCTGGAAAACAATAACATTATATTAAATCAAAAAAGTATTAATCGGTATTCAAGGCGTGAAACACTTAAAAAAGTGATCATAGATCAAAAATACGTCATTTTCAAAACAGCTGATACTCTTACACTACTAAAATGAAATTAACAAAACATAGCCATAAGAACCACTGCAAGTAAAATGACTTTCAAATGACAAAAAGCGCATCAAAAAAGATCAATCCGTTTAAGAGTTATGATGACGCAAACAAACAGACATGGACGCCAAAATAATACCGCTTTTGCATCGGAGTTTCAGAATACATGACAAAAATTACATGTTTTTTTCACAATGTTTTAAATACTTTTAACATGATCTCAGTGAATCTAGATTAATACTACATTATTTTATATAATAAGTTTGTCTTCTTGATGAATAATTATTATTTATAGGAAAAATACTGAATATAATCAAATGTTTTTTTATAAGTCGCTTAAGAATATATTTTTGCTTATAATTAAGAAAAAGGAATATTTTACTAATAGACAACTAGAAGTGAGAATGAGACATTAAATTATATTTAAGAACTAGTTTTTGCCCGCGACTTCGTCCGCGTTAGTTTGGTCAAGAGTAATATATGTAGGTATAGCTGACCAGGCGAACTCTATTCCGTCTTACAGGCCATAAATAATCAGGTTTTGCCTGTTTCAATCAAACAGAATGATTGACATATTAGTTAGTTGTCAAATCTAATGTCAAAAAAAACGTTTGTATGGGAAATAGAAAAGAGCTGTTTTTAGGGTTTTAATGGAAATTATTCTAATATTTCTCACCTTTTAAACCTTCCCTGGACTTCCAAGAGTATTTCAAGGCTAAAATTAGCCAAATCGGTTCAGCCGTTCTCGAGTTTTAGCGAGACTAAGGAACAGCAATCCATTTTTATATATATAGAAGATAAATTAATTTTTATTAGTATATTAATATTTAATATATGATATATAAAGTGAATATTATTGATTATTATCAACGTGTTTTGATAGCATTAGATGACACAGCGTCCAATAACACATTGACTATAGCTTATTGTAAATAATATTAGTATTAAAATAAAAATATTTTCTATATACTCATTATTAATAACTAGCTTTCCGCCCGCGTGGAGTTCGGTTATATCGCATTTCCAAGAGAACCTTTCCAAAGTCTGGGATAAAAACTATCCTATGTTCTTTCTCAAGATCAACTCAATATCTGTACCAAATTTCATTAAAATCAGTTCAGTGGGTTAGGCGTGAAAGCGTAACAGACAGACAGACAGACAGAGTTACTTTCGCATTTATAATATTAGTAGGGATTATTATGAATAAATAAAAGTCGAAATGCTAAGTCGTAGTTATTTTAAGCCGATGTTGGCGAGACTTAAATGGAGGTAGATGTTTTACAGTGTATGTGTGTTTGTGTGGGAGCATCTCTAAATGTTGTTTTATTAATACGAAATCGATTGACCTGCCTTGACCTCACTGCTGAGTGAACATACCTATATAAAACATCTGCTGACTGCAATGCCCACTACAATACCTTGAGATACTTTATCGTTTCCTTCTAAATAAATGTTAAGTGCGTATAATTAAATGACACTACAAAACTGTATAAGAATTCAGGTTAAAAATAATATCGGTGAGAAAAGGGAAATTAAATTTTAGTAACAACTATAATATGTACATACATATGTATATGTATATACTTGGCGATAATGTTTCTGTGTAGCCGTATTCAATAAAATTTAAATAATTTTCACGAGGATTGAGATCTTGTTAAGAGCGCGATTAATGTTGTACAATATATATAACAGTTTGTCTGTCCGTCTGTTTAAAACATAACTTTGAAACCGATTTCTTCGCCATCATAATGTATATGTACTGTGTGCACCATTTGTTTAACTCGTCAGTCATTATAGTGCTATCATATTAAATATGAACATTTACGAGGACCATCTATACAGTATATATATAAGTATTATATACAGGGTGACTGGTGAATTACTATCAATATTTAAGGAGAATACTCGGTACATGATTCTCATTCGAATTATGTAAAAAAAATAGGCACTTAATTTTTGACCAAATTTCCGTATAAATAAATAAAGTGTGGACACGTTCCACACGATGCGTAATTAATTGCATAACTTTTGGTTAACTTTACTTAGAAGTTTATTAATATTTATGTTATATTAATTTTTATTTTGTCATATATGATCGTCAAATATCAAATCCTCAAATATCGATAGTAATTCACCAGTCACCCTGTATACATGCATATATGTAC